TATTCATTTGCATTAGGTACTTCACTTGATTTGGTTTTACTATATTTTGAAAATAACAATGAACATAATATAATGCAATTAACAATTACGATTTCTCGCATGATTTGTGGCGTGTCTGAAAGCACTCGATACAGAAGAAGCCTTCGCACTTATTACATTGAGTTCTCACTTTCTTAGTATGGCATTTAGCGTAATAACGCCCATGTTCGTCGGAAAGTATGCTGACCACTTATCGATAGGCTGTAGATCGCAGGCACGTGACTCTTACAATCAATATTATCGGGAAACTCAGTGCTCATACATAAGTGTGAAAGTATAACTCCTTATAAATATTACTGAGACTTGGAAACATCAAATATTAGTATATACAATAGTATATAGAATATTATAATTATTTTAACACTCTCATAGTATGGGCTCTTATCAAGGCTGCTGAGCAACTTGTGGCGCCACAAGTTGTCATATTCGTGATCAGGGCCGTATTCGTGCTCACGGCGTAGAATAACCTCTACTTACAGCTTTTCGCCGAATCTGAGCATGAAAAGTATTCGTGGCGCCAAGATGGCGCCACGCTGGCGTCAAACTGGCGCCCAGTGACGCGAGCGCTCTGAACCATTGCCATATTCGTGATCAGCGCATTGAATTTGCTATATCTAGTAGCTTTTGCGATAAAATACTTGCTGGTTTTTCGTGGTCCCACGCGGCAGACACCCCAAAATCCGCTTGGTCGCCAACGTGTTAAGAAACGCTCATATTGTTACCATTATAGCCGCTCACAACCCTTAATGTTCTTCAGAAATTCATACTTTTGAATTGGACTGCATAGCGTAGATGCGGTAGGTGACGCAAAGAATGCTCAGTTGACTGATTTGCATTCGGACTCACATCTCACTCTCGTCTCCAGTCTGGTGCGGGGCTAACCGTCCGTTCACACTATTCGAACGAGGGGTCGCATTTGTGATTGTGAGAAGGGAGCGGATCGCATTTTTGGGTTGAGCAAGGTTATCATAATGAGAAAAGAGGTTGGTATTTCGAAGGATTTGTGAACTTTATGAAAGCAGAACTTCATGACACCAATTTTCATCTCTCCCTTGCTGCTCTGAAGAATAGTGGGCGGGGCTGGGCTGTGTCGACAGGTCTCAGAATCAAACACTATGGAAACAGCCATGTGGTGCCCTACTAAGTTTCCATGGTGCTTGTTTTTGGGGGTCGCATCGAAGCTAAGGGGGATCGCAAAATTTTGAAAAAGTACGAACGTGACGGTTGACCCTGGCCTGGTGCCTTGTGGTTACCTGTTAGTGCTCTCTGATACTATCTGGGTGCTCTCTAGTGAGGTTCTTCTGATAGTGGAATTTTCAAGGGCAGTTTCTCCTTGATGCAAGAAGTTTTACCACAATATTTACGTTTTCGTAGCATGGGTGAATATTTTGCGCCTACATCCATCCATCAGGTAGTATTGTTTAGTCTTGAAGACTTTGATATATCCTTTCTCTTCGTTCACTTACCCAAGTTTGACAAGGGCCACTAATCTCGGCTTAAGAGCGTAATAAGCTCCTTTTATCACGTGTTATGAATGTTTTAGAGGGAAAACTTAGTTTTTTGTGATAATCGTCCTCCAACTGCAGTATACGGTCATTGAAAAGAGGTCAACTGCCACGCTGAAACTTGATAAAAAGTTGCTGTCCAGCGGGGCGGGAGTAACTCCTAAACAGCAAATTACGCACCTTATCCCCACTTAATTTTTTTGCACCAATTCTTCAAAACCTTATCGCTCTCAACATACGCCCTTTTACCCTTCCAGGAACACTGCCGCTCCGGAAACCCTTCTCCACCCAAAAAATCCCAAACACGATCTTTTTGGTTGGGTATTTCCCAACCAACGTTTTACTCTGATACAAACCGCATTCTGTGTAGTTCCTTGGAGCGCCTTCCCTGTGATGGATCGGTCATCCATCCATGGACGAAAGAAGAGACAGGAAAATGATGGCTTCCTGAGTTCTGCTCCTTTTCACGAGTATTGAACTGACCTGACGACCTTGGAAAGTGCAAAGTACACACGCTCGAAATAATGTGGAAAGGCTAGGTGTAGATGGAAAGTTGTCCATTTCCCCAACGAGAGTTTTAGAGGAGAACATTGTTAAATTTTATAGTTAATTTTAACAAAATAATCTATCAAAACAAAGCTATACAAGTGTACAGTAATACAAATCCACGATATAGATGAAAATGATTCACAAAGAAGGCCATTGAATCAAGGTTGCTTCCTGATCGACGCTTTACTCAGCTCACAAATGAGGTCCCAAATTGGCTCGCCTCGTTTCGAGCATGCTACTCCATAGTAGGGATCGAGGGTGGTCTTCGTCGGTCGTGAAGTGGTCCTGTAGGTGGCCAACGTAGCACCGCCACCTACTGGTATCCACGTTGGAGGCAGTACCGTTGGTGGCCACAGCGGCTCGATTGTCCCTTCCTCAGGACTAATCGTATGAGTCGATTCTGTCGGTGCTGCTGTTGCTACCGTACCGGTTGTTGACTTTGAAGGTTCATGAGTTACGGGTGAAAGAGTCTCCGGTGAAGAATCTGGAGATACAACAATGATCTCCTCAGTGGTGGCCTCCTACAGTAACCTCAATAGACGACGTATCTACAGGCAGTTCCGTGGAGCGTTCTGGGTATACAGAAGGCACTGGAGTGGGAAAGCTTTCTTCTTGCGCTGTGACGGCCGTCACCTCAGGCGGATGAGAGTCAGGCGTTATCGTTACCACGATTTCTGTACCGCCGGTCACAGTTATCGCTTCATGCGTCACGGTCATGGGCGATGCGTCTGGTGAAATCGGCAACGGATGAGTTGGTTCGACAGTTTCCAGGGAGGTCGCCGTTGCGACAGTTGTCACTTGTTCCTCTGGAATATTCTCTGAAGTCGTTTCAGATGTTTCCGTTTCAGATGTTTCAGCGCTTGTGACAGTTGTCGTGGTCCTCAAAGATGTTTCCAATGTGGAGGAGATGATTGAAGGTTCTTCCGTGATCGTGGAGGTACTGGGCTCGACCGTAATTGTTGTCAATCCTTCCGTTGGTATTCCCGGTGGGAAGACTATAGGTCCAGTACTTGTCAATCCTTCCGTTGGTATTCCCGGTGGGAAGACTATGGGTCCAGTCGGTAACTCTCCACTGGCCCCACCAGTAATAGTTTCAGTTGTGCTAAGAAAGGAATTTGTCGTGGTATCAGGAGAGTTATCTGGTGATACTGCCTGAGTACTGGGTCCTTCTGTCTCAGTGCTACTTGTGGGTCCTGAAACAATAATAGACTGAGTGTTTCGCATCCTCTGCTTTTTATAAGATCTGTTCCTCACCAGTTGTGGTCCATGAGCCAAGTGACCCCCGATGAGGTCCATGATATACTGACGGCGACAGAAAAGTGGTGTCGAAGTTGATGCATTCTCGACGTGGACCACCTGAGACGAGAGACGATTTATTAACTGAATCAAATGACAGTAGGACTGACGTTTAGAAAAAACCTCACTTTGAGGAGCCTTCAAACCCATTTGACAAAATATGCACAATTTCCGACAGCTTTCTGCTTCGAGGAATGAATTTGATTTGGTTCACTACCTAATAATGGAAGTGGTTACGCTAATGCTTACACGCCGTGGGTAAGGATTGCGCCTCTTGGCACAGTAGCGTGACTGAACGAGGTGTAGCGCTTCCACGACGAAAGTTGCGCTGGTTGCTCAGCAGGACGCGAAAAGTGCTAAACAAAGCGAGCCACCCGCTGGTTTAGTTAATGATTTCAACGAGCAGCTTGCTGTTGGCTTTTCACTTGGAAAGATCACTTGCCTTCTAGCAGTTGTATCTTCCAATGTGCCTCAGTAATGTGTTAGCAACCAAGGCACGATATTTTATTGGCATGATAGCGACATCAGAGCACCTTTCCAAACGACTCGTTCCTTGGGGCGCACCATCCAATGTCATAATGAACCAGCGTAGCAAAGGAGATACACTGGTGTGCAAAACTTAGGGACGAACGTAGCTTTTCCAACGACGTGTTACTGGCGCGTAACATGACTCTATGGAACCTAACCACACATACAAAGAGCTGCCACAGGGCACTAAAGAAAGCAGTTAACAGGAACCGTTAAACGGTCCACAAAGCTATCAAAAGGTTATGATACTTCATCTGTCTCGTCCTTAAGTTTTGCACACCAGTGTATTTTGCGTATTCTTGACGGATTTCTATACATTCTCATGCCATTGGCTTAGTACCCGTATGTCCCTTTTGAACCCCCCCCACAACTTATCGTAATTGCTGCGCAAGCTTCGGGATAAAATGGGTGTGTAAGAAGCGCCTAATAATGTGATATTGGGTGAATGTGACCTGTAAAGGCGTAATAAGATACTCTCTCGTAACAACGCCTGGCAAAAAGGCCCTTCTCTTTCATCAGCACTCCACCTTTGCATGGAGAAGGGGCGTGTGCTCGCAACGGTTTTTTTTTTCAATATACTCGCATCAACTGCTTCTTTCAATCCTATCTTATTCTGAAGGGCTACTAGGCGCTACGTTGTACTTCAGGTTACATGCAGTAGCGTTGACTATCTCGATCT